CGTCCAGCTCCTCCGTGCTCAACTCCGCGGACGCCGGTGGCGGCGGCTTCCGGTTCGGCCTGCTCGGGAGCCCTGATGATGACGACTGCTCCGGCGAGCCGGCGCCGGTCGGGCCCGGGTTCGTCACGAGGCAGCTCTTCCCCGCGTCGCCGCCCGGGCACGCGGGCGCGCCCGGGGTGACGATGGGGCAGCAGGCCCCGGCGCCTGCGCCGATGGCGCCCGTGTGGCAGCCGCGGCGCGCCGAGGAGCTCCTCGTGGCGCAGCGGATGGCGCCCGCGAAGAAGACGCGGCGGGGCCCGAGGTCGCGCAGCTCGCAGTACAGGGGCGTCACCTTCTACCGCAGGACCGGCCGGTGGGAGTCGCACATCTGGTCAGCCCTCCTCTCGTCTCCCTACTCCTCCTCCATGACTATAGTTATTACCCAAATCACTAATCAATCGCTGGCCTTTGTCCGTCTGATTCCACCAGGGATTGCGGGAAGCAGGTCTACTTGGGTGAGCTCAAACAAATCCCAGCTCGAGCTCCGATCTCCTCGGTGTCTAATTTCGATTATCTTAGCTGTATGGGCTCGTGATTAACACTGGATAATTTCTTCAGGTGGTTTCGACACTGCGCACGCGGCCGCAAGGTGAACTAATTAATTAACCAGGCCTCGTTTGAATTCCTTTTGCCCCGATTTGGCCACGAACTGTGTACTGAGATGAGACGGTGTGGCGTGGCGCAGGGCCTACGATCGCGCGGCGATCAAGTTCCGGGGGCTGGAGGCCGACATCAACTTCAATCTGAGCGACTACGAGGAGGATTTGAAGCAGGTAATCTTATCCAAGCCTAGTTGATTGCTGTACTACCAAGTAGTGCGCCGGATACATATGTATCGGTGGTTTGTCCGATGGTTGATATCTGGTGGGTGGTGGTGGTGTTTTTTGCCAGATGAGGAACTGGACCAAGGAGGAGTTCGTGCACATCCTCCGCCGCCAGAGCACGGGGTTCGCCAGGGGGAGCTCCAAGTACCGCGGCGTCACGCTCCACAAGTGCGGCCGCTGGGAGGCAAGGATGGGCCAGCTGCTCGGCAAGAAGTAAGCAGGCACACACACAGCTCACGCACTAAAATTAATTCACTTCGCCCACATTATCATAGTAGTAGTTTCTTTTATCAAATGCCATTGACAAGATTCAGTTGAAATGAAATTTCACAGACTGCTCATGAACTTGACACTAATTAGTAGTAGATGTGACAGGGCAGCTGTTCATGCTGTGGACGTTTAATTAGCCTGTCGCAGGTAATCATCTTAGATTACCCCTTTTGAAACATAATCTTAGCTGGTTTAGGGTAGGGTCATCAAGTTAATCCATGTTGTTAGTTGTTGGCGCGTCCTGTGTTGGTGCTGGTGAGACGTCCACTTCCCCCGACACGACACTCGATTGCAGACATCTATTTGGAGCAACTGTTAGGCTCCACATAAGTATATGATCGAGTCGTCCAGACAAAATTAGTCTAATCCAATCCGTGCACATTATGGTCCAGACCCAGAATTGTCACCCTACACCTTCACACCCCTATCTCCGTTGAGCTGTGGTCTCATCTCATATACCTGATACCCACATTATCATCACACGCGCAGGTACATATATCTGGGCCTCTTTGACAGCGAAGTTGAAGCTGCAAGGTACTTTGATTTGCGCTGATCATTAACATTTGGGCTCACAAAACTTCCTTAATCTTTGCTCACTCACTCTAGTGTCATGTTGGATTTGGTAGGGCGTACGACAGGGCGGCGATTCGCTTCAATGGGAGGGAAGCTGTGACTAACTTTGAGAGCAGCTCCTACAATGGGGATGCTCCACCCGACGCCGAAAATGAGGGTACTACTACAATCGGTCTCACCTGTCGAATTTCTCCAATCACACCCAAGTCTTATCTCATCGATATCGTTGTTGTTTTCTTAGCAATTGTTGATGCTGATGCTCTTGACTTGGATCTGCGGATGTCGCAACCCACCGCGCACGATCCCAAGAGGGACAACATCATCGCCGGCCTTCAGTTAACTTTTGATTCCCCTGAATCGTCAACCACAATGATCTCTTCTCAGGTAAAGAAACAAAATTATGTTTAGCACTAGCTAATTCAGTGGTTAGATTTGCTCAAATAGAAAATTTGCTGTTGGCCCAGTTGTGTCGGTGGATGAGATATTATTGATCCAGGTCGTATGGCATATACTCTGTCCTAAACTTACGATATTTGTGCCTTTTGATATCGCTGTAGCCAATGAGCTCATCTTCGTCCCAGTGGCCTGTGCATCAACATGGCACGGCAGTAGCACCTCAGCAGCACCAGCGTTTGTACCCATCTGCTTGTCATGGCTTCTACCCGAACGTACAGGTATCATCATCACTACGAGAACGACCACCTCCTCCTCCTCCTCCTCCTCTGCTTGGTGCGCTGCTCCACCAGCTTACTGAAACTGTTGCTACCACTGAATAATGTTTCTGAAGAAACTGCTAATAACATTTTCAGTTTTCGACAAGTTCGTTCCTGAAATTAAGGTTTCCATGCTTCTTTCCTAAAACTAATCACGCCTGCTCTCCTAAAACATCTACAGGTGCAAGAATTTTGGGTGTAGTGATGTGTCTGTTGACTGAGCATCTCGTCTCATGGACAGACAGAGCATGCTGTGTGGTAGTACCAGAGTACTTACTAGATGTGGGCACTACTGTTTGCCCTGTGAGCTCGCACCACCTTTCGAAAAAAACTGCAGTGCGCCCTCCGGTTCTTGCAGTTCCATCCGTCCCCCATGGCACAGCTTTAGATGCAGCAGCAGCTTGCTTAGTTGTAGTACCCTGATCACATGGCGCAGCTTTATTCTTGGTAGCCACTGTGCATTCACATGAAAGCAAAGCTTTGGTGCATGCACGGCCATGACTTGACGCTCTATCTCACTGCTGGTGCTGGTGCAGGTGCAGGTGCAGGAGAGGCCCATGGAGGCAAGGCCCCCTGAGCAGCCGTCGTCCTTCCCCGGCTGGGGGTGGCAAGCGCAAGCCATGCCGCCGGGCTCCTCCCACTCGCCGTTGCTTTACGCTGCAGCATCATCAGGATTTTCTACCGCCGCCGCCGGCGCGAACCTCGCCCCGCCGCCGCCGTACCCGGACCACCACCGGTTCTACTTCCCCCGCCCGCCGGACAACTGAAGCTGGCCGTTGTGACCAGACGGCGGTGGGTGCGCGCGGTCGAGGTGTTCGCTCCTCGTCGTCGGTAACGCTTGTTGTGAAACTATAATCGGAGAGAGATGACATTGCCAGGCCATGTGTGGTGACACTACTGGCTGGTCTCTCGCCGCCTCGCCATGATCGGGATCACGCGGATCATGGCTGTTCATTAGATTCTCATGTATCCAATGTTCAAGTTTCCCAAACGGTTGAAAAAACTTTGAAATTTGTGATGGCAAATTCATGCATGGGTCGCACGGTGCGCCCTTGCACAAGCGCGGGGAAGCACTCTGTTGTTTTACAGCAGTCCGCCATTGTTGCGTTAACCGTTGGGCCTTCTGGCCGAGGGCGAGCGGCGATTGACAGGCGGGCCCTCCCCGGACGCGACTGGTGGGCGACTAGGTGAGGTGAGGTGAGGTGAGTAGGCTAGGCGGTGGGTCAGTGATTGTTCGTTGCCATCCTCCATTCTGGGAGGGGAGCAAGCTGTGATTGATGGGCCGTAAACCGCAGCAGGCATCACCTTTTTCTCCTCGCTTCCTATTCAATCCCGCACAGTGAAGTGAAAGCCTTTGTGGGTGCCCCGGCCTTGTGGCGCTAGCGATAGCTAATAAGCCAGCTACCCATGTTTGCCACCCCACCCACACACCCATCCATCCATCCACAATAGCAAAGCTACCCGTAGTACTATACCAGCGCCACTGTGCCATGCCAGTAGTACTACGCTGTAGCCTGTAGCTGAGCGTGGGGCTCGCTCTCGCTCTCGCTCTGGCTGGCCTGGCCGTGCAGAGTGCGCTAGAGCGGGCACTGGAGCGGCACAGTGCGGCCCGGCCGGAGCGGCTTCTCGTCCGCTGCGCCCAATGGCGCCGCGCCGTGTGTGCAGCGCCAGAGCATGCATGCGTCGCGCCCGCCCTCCCTCCGCGGCGCCGCTGCAGAATCCCCACCCTGTTTTGGCGATTCGTGCGCCTCGGTCGCCGCGAACTGCACTGCAGCTACCTCTGCGGCGCGCGACGTAGGTGGCGCCGGCGCTGGAGTAGATAGATAGACGGCTGGGAAGGGAAGCCCATTGGGGGCCATGGCGTTGGCATGGCACAGCTGTCCCTTTCCGGGTGGCTCCGTGGGGCGCTGTTCCAACTGCAGTCCCGGGGGACCCCCTGCTGCGTTTGACCGGACCTCTTTTTCTTTTTACTACTCCGTCCGCTGCGTGGTGGTTGGTCCGTTGGGGCTTCCTCCCTGTTTGTTTCCTTGCGACGCCCCCACTGGGCGGTGGGCTGCCACGCCCACGCACGCACGCTTGCACGGGACCGGGCTCAAATGCTCGCACTTCTTGGTGCCCGACTTTTTCATTTCTAGGTGTTGGTGTTGGTGTTGGTTTTGAACTTGTGGTGAATGGTCCGGGGGCTAGATGATGATGCTGCTGCTGCTGCGTGTTGCTCTGCCCGAAACAGCTGCTAGTACACTGTGCACCGCTCACTCCTCGCCGTGCATCTCTATCCATTGCCCAAACTTAGTTTTCGATAGTTTTGGTAAAGTTTAGCCTGTTTTGACCCTGCTTTTAAAAAAACCCAAGAACTGACCCTTTTTCCTACTGTCAGGGTTGATGGCGGTAGGGTATAAGAGCATCTTCAGCCGTTCGGCCTCCCAGGGCGCTAAAAAAAGAGCGGTCTGGGAGCGAACCGGCGCTAGTTCGGCCCCTGGGGGTGATCTAGCTCCCAGTCACGCCCTCAGGACGGGAAAAATTCAAACTTGGTCGTTTCCGCTCACAAAAGACGCCACAAGTCGGGCGATCGCAAGCCACAGTTCGGCGTACACAAAAATAGAGCGGCAGAAGTTCGCGTGCGCAACGCATCACTCGGCGGGCTCTGCCCAGGGCGTCGGCGGAGTTGGCGTGCGCGGGCTTGGCGGTGTCGGAGCTGCTTCTGCGCTGGGCGGTGTCGGCGCGGCTTCGGTGGTGCTGGGCGTTGTGGAGGCGTCATCACGCGGGCTTGGCGGCAGCGGCGGCGTGTGCGTCGGCGTCGGTGGCCTTGTCGAGGGAAACTGGTTCAGGATGAGGCCGCGCTCCGCCAAGTACCACACCTTCTTGGCGATGGCCATGTTCCGCCGGTCGGCGGTGACAGCCTCCCGTCGCTGAACTTCCGCCCTCCACTCGGCGTTTGACATGCCCGGTGGCTTGGTCGGCGGCGCCCTCGACTTCCTCTGCTTCGGCTGGGCGACGAAGG